ACATTACATAATTCAGTAGTCAGTGATACTTGTTTGCACAGTTTAACTGAGACAGCTAAGAGAATGCAATCAAATCTTTCACTAAGGATTCCAGGTTAAAAATATTCTGCAGAATCAAACTGACCAAAAATTGCCTCCAGGCCAGCAGGCTGTTTCTGCCAGTTCGGTTTCGACCTGAGGTGTAATTCTCAGTGTTAATTAAAGCGTTCTGCATTCAGACAGTGTCCATTCTGTTAACTTTTAATGGTTTTCTAAGTCGCTGAGTGGGACTCCTAAACAGGAGTCACAGCAACAGTTCAGTTCCAGCATGGTTTATTTATTTATTTCTATTTTTGAAATATATGCTTTTACAAAGGGAAAACATTGATGTAAGTGAGGAAGCACAGCGGTTTTATTGTTACAAAGTAACCGTAGGAGCTGAACTGTACACCCACATTTTAGGATTCATATTTCAAACTTGCACGAATATGTGCAAATGGTCAAAAGAGCTCTCGCCATCTGCAGTACTTTATTATGGATTTTGAATCTGTGCTTCCTTACCCAGCCTTCTGAAGAGGAGGAGATTGTCGACCTGATGCTGATGAAAATCTACAGTCTTTTTGGCATCAAACGTAAACATGCAAAAGACACCCAGGAGTCCGATGTGAGCGGCGGATGTGGCTTGGCCCAAAATAACAGCAGAAATATCTTAAGCACTTCTCCTGATGCCAACATTTTTCAGATGTCTGACAAATACGTAAACCTCTAAGGATGTACTGTACTTTTATTCCACGGTGTTCTCTCCTATCCTTTTTTCCCTCTTGGCAGGTCAGAGCATGCTGCACTGTTTTGTGAATATGTGTAATAGCTTATCATAACACACAGAAATACATTATTTGTTGAGATAAATAAGATATTTAGAGCATGTTGGACTCAGTGGTGGGGTTTTTTTTGCAACGATGATACTCAGGTTGCCAAAAACATAAGAACTATATGAGTATTTCATACATATATTGTAAGTATATAGTTTGTATGTGTCTGGTAATCATACAATCAATGTTTCAGCTTTAAAATAAAGAGAAAAATGCATTCATGTGTGTGATTCATGTGTTTGTGTCTAATAACCACTGTTATTCATTTAATATCCCCCAAACAGCTTTGATTTTTCTAAAACACGCTGTCCTTGCAGGTCGAGCTTACTGAAACTGGTTTGTTCACACAGTATCCACAGACACTGCAAAATAGATGAGAGTCCATCACCAAGCAGATCGCAGCCAAATACACGCAGGCATCATTGGAGAGGCTTCGTCTTTTGCAGACTGTCAGGTGCTGACATCAGTGATGGATCTCATTTCTCACTTGTCATGTTTGGATGGTTTAAAAGACATTTTCATGCACTTTTGAGATATTTAAATTCCAACCACTTTTCATGAACCTAACCAAAAAGTTTTTGGTGCATAAAACTAACCAGTAAATTCAAGGTAACATAAATTAGACAAATCAGAAAAGCAAAAGTCTCAAATGTAACATAAGCTGCAGGGTCAACAAGACTCAACTTCCACTCAGCCACAACAGCTTTAACAAGCCAAAGTCAGGCAAAGATCATTTTAATATTCAACTCAGAGCTGCTAAACATGGTTCAGGTCCGTCTTCTCTATTCTTTTTCCATATGAGGGAGCTTTGTCACGCTGACCCAGAAAAAAGGAAGTATGTTTCTGCAGTGTCACTAAGTCAGAAACATTAACAGATGTGTGTGAGTTAAAATGTACTAGAGCGTGTGCTTTGAGCCACTGTGGACGTCAGGTTCTGTCTGAGAGACACAATGTTGGATTGTCAGCATATAAGAGCACACTCGATCATGCAGCAGCAAACAGCGCAGAGGTCGTGACAGTTTCTGGTGGTTTTGAAAGTCAAGCATAAGAACATGCTGAGCACCCTTGAACATTATGAAAAATGAAAGTTAATAGGATTACCTTCTGACAAAAAGCTTACACAGTGTAAAGACAGCTGTTCACGAGGACTTTATAACCAACATTTTGAGAACCCCAAAGTGTACATCAAAGAACAAATCTCAGCAATTACTTTCTGAAAATAAAACTGCAATACTCTGGAAATCACGCAGGGTTGTGCAGGTCACATTCATAGATGAAGTCTAGGTCTATTATATGGCAAATTCTGCCTCTGTTGACATCCTGCAATCATCCTGGGTCCAGTAACTAAAGCAATTCAAATCAGTTCTCAACAACTTAGCAAGCAGTTTGCTAACTGTAGCATGGGAGATGGGTGGTCTCGTAGGGTGTCTTGCATTGAAATCTGCTGCAATGACCCGGTTACTGCGTTCACCAGATATCAACACGATTTCGATCCGCTCCTCACGTGCTAACCTTTTCGACATGTCAATGGCTGTGAACAAAGAGAAACTTGTAAATAATTAATGAAAGAATAAAGTTACGCTGAAACCAAGCACACCATTGTTTTTCTTGTGACATTACCAATAAGTGTGATGTGTCACATGGCCCTCTTCCTACTGAAAAAACAAAAGTTGGATCCAAGATGGCCGACTTCTAAATGGCCACCATGGTCACCACCCATCTTGAGGAGTTTG